TACACTCACTGTACTGTACTTTCAACTCCGACGTCCAACTCGGTGGAATCGAATATTGAATACAACGATTCTAGGGCAAATAGTCATGGAAGAGTATCAGGTTTGACTACTTTGAAAGGGGTAAACATTCTTTTTTTCACGGGTGGGGTTGAAACTATCACTAAGCGAGTAATTTATCATCATCATCCACTAAGCTTATTCCATATTATATGAGATGGGAGATCAGCTAGGTATTTTTACCAGAAATAATAATGAATTGTAGAGAGGGATGACGGGGGGGGGGGTTTAGGGGAGTCAAACCCCACCCAGTAAATTCCGAAATTTAGTAGTAAAAATTAAAACTAGGTTTAAAAGGTGAAAGTTAAGTTATAAAAAAAAAAACCGCTGCAGCAAACCTGCCAACCAAGCAAATTTCCATTTGTTTGAATTGATTTTTAATTAGATTAGTTAAGATTTAACGAATACTTAGGTTTGTTGCTACAAGGAAACAAATAAAGTGTGATTTTTATTGTAAAATAGCTTCTTAGTATAAAATAAATAAATTTACCAAGATTGGTCAGAATATACTGTATCCATAAACAAGCACACTACAAACATTTTAAAATATTCTCCATAAGAATAACATGAGAATTTTAAATTTACATTTTTTTGTATTTTCTCCATTAGGCCTACCAACAATCGTAAAAAAAAAACACTTGATATAACCCACTGAATTGTCTGTTTTTTAAGCTCTTTAAAAAGGTCTGGAGAGAAATCGGGAAATTTTGTGTTTTGAGGGTCGAAAATAAGAAAACCCCATAAATCCCCCGTTCCCATGGTCCGATCATGCTGGTTAGCGAATTCATTCAAAGTTTATCCCGCCTTACACCTTTAAACCAATTGTCATCAAAATCAGACAAAAATTACTCGAAAGTTATTGTGTTCACGGACACATATAGCCTACAGCCCATGTACACATAAATTTGAAAAAATTGTGTTTCTGGCCTCTGGGGACATCAAAATGAAAAAGTAAATCGGTCCCGGGCCTAAGTCCTACCGTGCCACCTACAATCTTCTTCCCTATAGGGAAATTTTCTAATAGAAACCACAACAGAGAGAGAATTGTGTTTTATGTTTTGCAATAGCTATTCATATTTAATATCATTCTATTAATAAATCTGGTCCATAGAGATAATGATGATAAAACTATGAAGGTTCAAAAAATACTTCACTCTACCCTACTTATGTCTACTTGCTCATGACAAACAACAGGTGAAATGGGAGTTTTTGGACGATTGGACACAGTTTTATGTGTTAAAAATTGCTTTAGAAAGTCACCAAATCTTTTATAAATAAATAACCCCCCCCCCCCTCTTAACAAGGTTCTAGAACCTAGGGCCCGCTAGAACCGCCACTGACCTGATAATCCTACCCTACTTCTAACAAGGGTAGATATTCACGGTAATTACTTAAAATAGAGAATATTTTTCATCCAAAAGCTTAAATATAAAAACTTTACCTTCTCCAAAATGTGTTAATGATTGATTTGCAAACTATTTTAATGTTTTATAATTAATCAATCTTTATCAAATGTTTCACTTTTATCATTGATTGTTGAATGAATGAATGATGGAATGATATTTATTGGCACAAAACGTGCAGAATATTACAGGATGTATGTACAGGTGCTTCCTCATAAATAAAATTGTCCTTATACAAGTCGTCTCTTTCCTTCTAGGTTAAACACATTTTAAATTTTTGTTAAAACGTACAACTTCAGTAGGTACCTATACAAAAGTCAATGCATTTATTCTTTCTGTGTTCCTACTTATCTTTAAGTTTTCCTCCAAAAATATCTTACAAATAAGAAATTAAAGTCTAACAGCTTAACAATAAGTAAATTTAAGTTGAAACATATAAAGCATATTCACAAAAAAAATTACAGAGTAACTTCTTTCAAATGTTGAAAATTATTCAAAGATAGTTAACATTACCTAACAAATTTATTATGTCTAACAATTTACACGTTTTAGACCCTAGAGGAAACCATTTGAGACCTAAGACCAAGTGAAGTACATATGCATGGGATGGTTTCTGGTTGTCATAAAACTGACCCTTGTTACAACTCTGACCACAGTGCAAGGGATAAATTTGGTTCAATGCAATGGAAGACATATTTCTATCAAAGCATTTACCATAGGTGATTCTGATGTTTAAGTACTAATTTATACTTTAAATTTATCAAGATTGTAACTATAAACTTTTACTAAGATCTTATCGCAAAAAAGACTGTGCTAATGTAAAATTTTGGAGTTCTTATGTTTAGCTCTGTAAAGTTCTCTTGAAATAAAAAAATCTTATTGAGCAAAAAATTATTAGTGACAATATTGGTTGGAACAGTTCCATTTATTTTATTGTATATTTAAATAACTTACTAGTTTATTCTTTAATAATCCAGGTATTCCGAAGTGTCAGAAAACATTATCTGCTCCTATTTTGAAATGAAAGATTTACACTAATCTACACAATTTCTTCTCTGAAACTTAAGACTAGGTGCAGTGCCCGACATTATTATCAGGCCTAAGCATTGAAAACAAATCTTTAAAGCAAAGATCTATTTAGCTATTAATTTAGGACCTAGAACTCTAAAAATCAACACTTATCTTATTCAGTTGAAAAGTTACCAAATGTAAGGTATCTCCCTTACTCAGACTTGAATTTAAATATAAATCTTGTCAGTCACCATTTTATTAAAAGTTCTAAAGGACTACTCCTGCCTAAGCGGAGATTGAAAAGCGGAAAAAACTATAGCAGACCTTTTTAACAGACCCTGTATTGCCGCCCAAATCAACCACCTCTACCTCAGCAAAAGTTGGGATGGCGATGTACATATTAACTTACCTTAATTTAAAAGCCTATTGGGTTAATCAACATTTCTTAGGAATCAAAATATAGAGACTTCAGTTCCCAATTTTTTTCAGTGATAAAAAAAATCGCATCAATGCAGCTTTTGTTTTGACTGATAAGGTTACAAAATAAGGATTTACAGAGAGTTGAGTCAGAGTCTACAAATAGGCTGCACTGCAAGCTTTGAGCATTTAGAGTGTGTACTGTAGTAAACATAAAATTCCAAATTAAGCTTACAGCATGGAACCATTTACATTAGCTGCAAATGCAAAAATACTTAATAGGCATACTTACACTTCTACAAGCACTATACAATTTGACAAGACATATTCAATGCTATTCTAATTTATGTTCAAAAAACTAGGCCTATGGCATGAATAAAATTCAGTTAACATATTTGTTGCAATTTTCTAGTCTTAGACCAGCAAACACCTCTAGTTAACTTTAGACAAAAAACAATTTAAGTATCCTATTGCAAGTTTTGCTTAGCGGAGTAAGGACTTTTACTTTGACTAATTGTATAACAAAACCATCACTTATCTCTCAAACAGTTTTATACTTTTTTTACTTTATTCAATGAAATGGCGACCATACAAAGTACTAGCTGTATTTTAAGCCAAGTATGAATGGAGATGAGCGTAGGATGAGTGGTGCGAGAACAAGGGTACCGGTACTTTTAGATTTGTATACATTACTGGCATTAGAATTGATAAGACTGGGACGGAGGCGTCGTCCTGTAATCCAGCTACTAGGAGGTCACGAATTGTGGATATTTATAGGCATGCCCTGTGGATGTGATACTCCCTGGTGTGGATTAACGTACTACCACTTTGCGCAGTACTACCGGTATCCTGATAATAAGACCAATTTGTTAATTAAAAGGCAAAAATGTGGTTCTGATTCCACTATAGACTGTAGGTCCCATAGTTGCCATTGGCTGTATGGGCTATTAATTAACAGCTGTGTCTAAGGAATATGTCAGCCTTAGTCACTAAAAAGAGTACAAGATCAGACCACTCATCCTAGACACTCATCTCCATTCATACTTGGCTTAAAAATACCAGCATTTGTTTGGTCACCATTTCAAAGTAAAGTAGGCTATTAAAGTAGGTATTAAAGTTACTGCCCACCTGCACAGGCTATTAGAAGCTCACCCTTATGTCCAATTGGCATATTTGACAGATTATCCTAAACTAAGTTAGGCTACTCTTACTTCGGTTGGGGACATACATAGCCTTGTTTGGTAGAGCCCTAATTGCCTAATAAGTTAGGTACTCCCGAATTCTGGTTATTCGTGGTTATTGATGGATATTGAACCAAATCAAAATCGATACGGTAGGCCTATGTTGATATTTAAATCGATAAGTTAATATAGGTATCGCAGAGTCAAAAACTGTCGGTAAGTTACCCCTCTACAGAACTATGACTGTACCCCATGCATTATTTTATTTATTTACCTAGTTTTTTTGTTGTACTAAACTAAACAGTAAAACAAAATCACAAAATAATGGACACATTTTTTAAAGAACAAAACATGTTAAGAAATACTACGAGAAGTTGTTGATTTAAACTTACTTAGGATATATAGCATACTAAAGATTTAAAGACAAGACAATAGGTACATTAGAACCAAATGGGACTACACTTCCATATCTGTTGGCACAAACAACCGAATGAAAATATCGATCGATATATCGATTATTCGATATATCGTTTGGTTAGCTAGGTAAGGTTAACCTAACTAAACGATATATGTAGGCCATTAAACAATCGAATAATCAATATTAGGCCTACTCATTCGGTTGTTTGTACAAACAGATATGGAAGTGTACCCCTTTAAATTACAATCGATTTCATAAACTGTAAATTAAATGTACCGTATTGGGATCTTAAGAAAATGTCAAACTGTAGACAAAATGGGGCAAGTTTAAGTTAATGAAGATCAACACGGACAAATTTGACTGTTTTTTTAAGGTAGCCTAAAGCTGAACCCAATTGACAATGCTTATAAGCGCCAGGGCAATTACTGTATTAGACAATTTGAAAGAATGACAGTCTTAGTCTAGTATACTTTTACTTTTCAACGGATAAAAATAACATTAACCAAGAGTTACCTTCAGAAAACTCTTATATCCCTGGCAGACGTTTTTACACTTGATGCACTACACAGAGTTCACTTAGCCCGAAGTAAACACAAACAAAATACGTTTTCGCTCACAACAGGGTACCTATTTGTACATCTTGAATGTAAAACTTTCAAGGATCGGACATGTTATTTTAAATCACAAATAATATACCACAACAACACGACACAAAACACTTGGCTTTCACGGTTTTGATGGAATTTTGCAGAAGACAACGACTGAAGCTACGTTCCTGACCAGCTGTTAATGACTGAGACTTGAGAGACTGTGTAACTTACTAACCAGCTGTAAGGCAGGCAGAGGCATACGCGCAGATGCTCAGTGTTGGGAATCGCTCGTTCGTTAGCTTATTTCAGAAACATTGTTGCCAACCATTTGCCAACACCATCGTGCAATCGGGCAAACAATCAAAAACATAGTACTGTAATATTTATTTATGTCTTTGAATAAAGTATTTATTTAGGATATATATTTTTAAATGGACACATTCAAGTATAAACTGATACAGCCTTTGAGTTAGCATAAAAACATGATACCTAAGTTAAGATAGGTAGTTGAAAATTTTTTATTAAAAATGCTTGTAAGATTTAAGTTACCTACCTTATTATCAAGGCTGCGTTGTTGACCAGCATAGCTGGATAAACTGCGTCAATTTTTAAATATAAATATCAATTATTTACAACAACAAAATAAAACTTGAATCTTTCAAGGAAATAAATGTGAAGGTTTCGAAAATAAAAATAAAAACTTGGCGGGTGACTAAGGAGGCGATGCACACTCTACCATTTGTTACTAAATAAAACGCAGGTTTCTCTCGTTTTCATTGTTAGCTAGTTTTTCTATTCATATTAAATAATTTCTTTGTTCATACTCCGTATTTTTACTTTTAGCGAATTTCCCATATAGGGAATAAGTTATTACCGTAGTACTCACGGTAAGACCTGAACCCGGGACCGATTTTTTTTTTCGTTTTGAGGTCCCTAGAGGTCAAAAACACCATCCGTTCAAATTCATATATATATATTTATATATATATATATATATATATATATGTGTCCGTTAGCGCGATAACTCGAGCAAAAATGATCCGATTTTGATGAAATTTGGTACAAACGTGTAAACCTACGTTTATTCGAACGAGTTCGCGAACCAGCATGATCGGACCATGGGAACGGGGGTTTATGGGGGCTTTTATGGGGTAAAAATGGGGTTTTCCCATTTTTTACCCAAAAAACATAAAGTTTTGCAATTTCTTTCGAAACTATTTTGTAGAGCTTAAAAAAACAAATAATTTAGTATATTGAAGCGTTATAATGCGCCTAATGGTTACGGAGAAAATTCCAAAAAATTTTAAATTTAAAATTCCCATGTTATTCTTATGGAGAATAAGTAAACTGTTGTAGTTTGCTTGTTTATAAACATATTTTGCCCAAATTTGGAAAATGTTTTTATTACTTACTAACTATTAACATCTTACATAAAAAACACTTTTACCCTCCCTGTTGCAGCAAACCTAAGTATGTTTTAAACTGATTCTATTTAAATAGGGAATAAATGTGATATTTTTAAGGAGACATTTTAGTTTAAATCCATTCAGGGAAATGGAAATTCGCTTAGTCTGCAGGTTTGCTGCGGCGGGGGTATTTATATTTGCACTCGTTTGTGGTACGTTGGTATGTATATGGATAATCATTTTTTATAGTCTATTGAATACTATCTCATGTTAGGATTATTCTCATACGGATAAAATGAAGGTGTCCGTTGGAATAAATAAATAAATGAATTCTTATAGTCATGTACAATTCTCCACATTTTTGTAAAATGGCGAATGCCCAGAGATAAAAAATAAAATGAAATTTGATATGTATGGATGGCAATGGCGTCGGCACTCGGCTAAGCACGGCCGCCTTTAACTTCAGGCCGCGGCCTTCGAAGTGGCAGGCAACGTCGCAAGTGGTGTTGTAACAGCTGTTTTGTTTGGAAGCAGCTAATAATGGTATTTGTGTATTTACGAAAGATTGGTTACTGGACTATGACAATATTGACTCCACTTAAAATGTACAGATATATATTTTTAATTCACATTGTTTCAGTTTTCAATCCTGTATATTTTATTTTAAATATTTTAATAAATGTATGTTCATAAATTTAAATCAATAAAGTGTGAACTAATGAGCTGGTGTCACCTGTCTACCATGTTATCTTATGGGACGTCTGTCACTAAACAACACCACTTGCGACGTTGCCAATTCTACCAGGCCACGGCCTGTAGTTAAAGGTGGCCGGTACAATGCTCAACTGTTCTGGGGGAGAAGTCACATTCCTTAATTTTAGCTATGAAAATGTTAAGTGAAACTATGACTACGCAATGAAGTCACTGTAGCATAGTTAGATTATAATCTATGCTCTATTATAATCAATGCTAACATTTATGTACAACAATTAGACAAATACAGTTAATATTATTTGTAGTGGTGACACTGATAAGGCTGTCAGCCTGTCAAGTGGAAATGAGGAAAAAAAATCTGTGTTGCTGTGTTGTGGTTGTGTTATGTTGTGTTGTGACTTGTGAAGTGTCAAATTTTTATCACTTCATTCTCTAAACCCTTCTGCAGTTCTGCTTTTGAATTGTTTTTATTGGTAGTATGGCAAATAAGGCAGTTGTTAACAGATCTAAATAGAATGCTCTTGTATTTAGAAACCAATATAATATTGAAAAGAAAATAACTGTTTTCAATGTCAATCCTCATTTAGTGGTAAAAGCATAACCTTCAAACATTGTGTTAAGTTAACATAGGTAACTCTTTATAAATTGTCTCCCTGTGATTTTGCAGATTGTGAAACCTAACTTTTAAACATGACCGCAAATAAACTGCAAGGAAACTCTGAGAGTAGTAAAGGTTCAGATAAAATTACTACACATGAGAAATATTTTGCAGATCTTGAAAAGTGGCTGCATGAAGCATATATGTGGCAGGGTGTAGCAGCAAGCTTCCCTTACTTTTTGATGTGTAATCAGTATATGTCACAGTTTCCTTCTAATACAGGAAATGAACACACAGGAAACGTCAGAAACCCTTTTCTCCATGATCCTACTGGACGTAATAACGCTGGCTTTCAGCAACAACAAACAAGAGTTACCTTTAGCCACGGTAGGTTCTAGCTGAAATCAAATTCTTTAACTACCTAATTAAGTCATAAGTTAGTCCCCTTACTATGTAGATTCTTTTTTTTTTAAGTTGTTTTTGGGTTTTCTTCCTATTTGTCATATCTCCATTCATACTTGGCTTAAAATAAGTTACCTACTTTGTATGGTCGCCATTTAATAAGAAAAATATTAAAAGTATTTAGTTAAAACATAAGTAACTTAACTTATATAAGTTAAATTATATATAATTTAGGCCCAAGTTAATATGCCAAATTCAAAAACTGTATTTAGACATAAGCATACCGTAGGGTAGGCCTACTGTTCACACCAAACTAAAATGATTTTGTTAATTTAATGGTATGGTAATAAGTTTACAACCTAGAAGGCCTAAAAGAAGATGGTGGGACAGTGTGAGAACAGACATTGCAGGAGCGTAAGTAGATGAGGCATACAACCAGACAGTATAGGCCTGGTAGAAACTAAGAGCTTTATGAACAAGGCCAGTGAGTGAGTACATTTGGTGGAGCTCTGCCGAAATTGAAATTTTACAACATTCATTCAGTCTGGAGGTAACACTGGACAAAAACTGACCCAACTGACTGGCTGAGGTAACTGGACTTGGAGTTTCAGTCTGATGGCTAGGCTGGTTGATGCTAGGAACATCAACACCAGGATATTGTGGAAAGAATTGTTAGGAGTGGAGGGATACAGTTAGGTTTCTGAACATCCAATATTTTAAATTATTGTCAATGTTGAGTCCATTAGCGTTGGTGAAAAACAATCAATACAAAAATACCTACATTTGCCTTTTAAATTGTTTTCCTGTTATTTACTTTAGGAATCGAGTGCAAGATTCCAGCGTTATGGAAGAGACTGCTAGCAGAGTTTCTGGACTTTCTCATCTTGTTCATATTGAAACTAGCAGTTACTTGGATTGCCATTGATTTCTTTGAAATTATGTAAGTAGACTAGGCCTATTAATAAAACATCTTCACTTCTATGTATGTCTATTCTATGTTGTACTCAGTGGCGTCATTTCATCAAATCCTTGGGGGGGGGGGGCAAACACCGGGGGGTATGGGGGTATACAATACCCCAGCAAACTGGGGGCCCCCCGGAAAATTTTGCAGTTTTTTAAATAAAGAAGAGGGGGTTAAGCTTATTTTAATTGTCAAAAGCACTTAGAATAAAAACAAAATTGAGTAAATTGTATTTAAATTTAGTCAGAAAATTAATGAAACTGACAATTATTGACAACAGACAGAAATATAATAATATGTTGGTAAGTTAGTTATCTAAGAAACGTGATCAATAGCTCCATGATGTATTAATATTATGTTCGTTGTTATTAGATTCATGACCAATTTCTCTTGTACAACATTTACAGCATTTTTTTTCTAGCCCAGGAACCAGGGGGGCCGATGACCCCCCTGCCCTCCCCAAATGACGCCCCTGGTTGTACTGTCCATATCATCGCACGGATTTTAATTGTATTTACCGTACTTGTTCTTGATCATCAATGGTGCAATGCTAGTGCAAATGCCACAATAGTATCTTAGATAATCTAAGGACAGCACTTGTTTTTACACTGTAAATTCATATTGTATCGTCCAGTCAAGCAGTAACTCTGTGTTTTATATATATTTTGATTAATTTTGCTCAGGAAACATATTTATGATTTTAAAAGCAAATCAGGATTTAACCAATTTTGAACAGAGTATTAGGCCTATCCCTTGGTTTCAAACTAAATAGCCTCAAGAACTACTACTGCACATGACATCAACCCTTTAAAAACAACAATTTATAGTGGTTCACAAAATGTGAATCTCATTTTTGGTCACAAAACTATTGTGGAGGCATGTCACTATTTTTACACATTTTAAAAAACATGACATTATTAAATGCAAGTATAATTATTCAATTGTTTTGTATACAGAAAATTTATTTTATTTTACAGAGACCTGGCAAAGTTCGACCTAGACAGTCTGCAGGTAGATATGAGAAGGATGGACTACAGAGTTGCCCTACAAGTCACTCACAATATCATGATCTTGGAAGTAGTTCACAGGGTTGTCGTGTGTATTTTTGAGGTAAGTTTTTTTTTTCATTTCAACCCTTAAGACTTATAATCTTACTAATATTATAAATGTGAAAGTTTGTGTGTTTGTTTGTTTGTTTGTTTGAAGTTCAATCACGCTTTAACTACTGGTCGGATTGGGCTGAAATTTGGTATAATGATAGCTCACATTCCCGATTAACATATGGGTAGACATATTCTTATCTCAAAAATCCTTTCGGGCTCCGCCCCAGTGGCTCTGGAGTTTCCCATGTTAACCTTATGAGTATTCATTATTTAAAAAGGATTAAAGGATTTTGTCAGCTGTTTCAATTACACAATTTGTTCTATGATATTCAATATTCTTAAAAGTTATAAGGTTCACCGACAGGGTGCAGCACTATTATTAGATTTTTCATTCATGATAACAGCTAATTTGAACCAAGCCGCAACAAAAGGCTGTGATGCACAATGAGAACCGTTAAAGTAGGACTATTTACAGTTAAGTTTATGTTTTAATTTATAAATAATGTTTTCATATTGTGCGGATATTCGATAATTTACTTTTTTATTGTTTAGGTGTAGTAATGGTAGAACATTATTGCTATATTATATGTTATACTATAGCTTCCGTAAATTAAAAGAACCAAATTTTCTCAAACTGTGTCCTCTTCCATTGCGAACACAAAGCATGAGTATAACTGCAATAAGCATTTTATACTTATATGCAAACCCCGTACGAAGGATTCTGCTAGTAAAACATATAGATCAGTAAATTAAGAACTCTTTTGTGTTCACTCACATACAAGCGAAAAAACCCAGCTACGTATTGGGATCTAGCAAGCAAGAATCTTTTATAATGGCTTCATTTGGTGTGTAATAAAAATTGACAAAAGTTTAAATTAGCTGATGTTGTTGAAAAAAAGCCAAATGAGTATTTATTTAAATGAGAGCCCATTATATAACTTTCCAATGTGTTCATAGTTTGGAAAACAATCAATAAGCTTGAACTACTATATTGATGTTTCTACGTCATTGACATTTTTGTTTATTGCAAGATAAGTCAACCTTTTGATGGATAGAATCATTATTTGATAGTCCAATGAAAAGTGGCATCTCAGGCCAGAGACAATCTTAGAATCAAACCAGGGTCCTTAAGATTTGAAACAAATTTTTTGCCTTGGAACAACTAATAGATTTTAATTTGAATCCGTCTATTTCATTTTTAGTAAAAAAACTTCCGAGTTACCATAGAGTTCTGTTCCAGACATTTTGGCTGGTAGGTGGTGTCGCAGGCAGGATCGGAGGAGCGACACCAGGCAAGTCAATGATGGGGTTGAGGGTTGTCCGATGTGAAAATGTCACAAACCTGCCAGGCAATGACGAGATCGTAGTAGTCTACCCTGGGACAGATCTGGGGCTCGGCTGGGCTTTTGCAAGATCTTTCATTAAAAATCTCGTTTTGGCGCTTTTCATCCCATTCATAGTTGCCTTCTACTACTTTCCATTTAACAGAGCTGGGTACGATATGATTTGTAACACTATTGTCATCGAAGAGCCTATTGTACAGCATAGACCAAACAATCATTAAATGTTGTGTTGTACAAGTGTTTCTCATTAACCTTGTCTCAAACTTATTCCTTTTAAATTTTTGGTGAGATTTGCTTAGTGGCTAAAAAATAGCTTTAGTTGATTAATTGGTTGTTTGAGAAGTAAATAGATGGATCAGAGAAGCATGAAATGTCAAATCAGTGGCGGATCAAGAACAGCCACAAAGGGGGGGGGGCAAACCAGGGCGTCTGGGGGGTTCGGGGTTTGTGTAAACAAATTCTCCAAAAATTTGTGTAAACTAAGTCTTCAAAATGGCAGTTATATACAATTTCTTTGTCCTAAGTTAGTGTGACAAATTATTTTATGCAATTTGTATGCACTACTGTATTACATGCAGTAAAAAATATATGTATGCCCAAGGGGGGGACGGTCGCCCCCCCCCCCCCCCTCTGGATCCGCAACTTTGTCAAATAAGCAATACATTCCTATTCCTATACATTGTGTAAAAAAATCTACTGTGTAAACGGCACAAGGCCTGTGAAAAAGAAGCCAGTGAAGATATGGGTTCATGTTCATGTCTCACAACTGCAAATAAAAAAAAAATATCAATCCAGTTTATTCTACTTACTACTGTATTCACCCCATTGCTTTGAGGCCCCTGTGGATGGGCAAAATTAAGGTTAAAAGGTGCTGCCAATCCCTTAAAAACGCTGAAAATACTAGATTGACTGCATGATACTGTGAAAACACGGATAATACAGCAAATAATTAACACGTGACCTCGACAATCAGTGCAAGCAGGAGCTGACAGTAGGTTGTGTTAAGATACTATTGAATATCCCCCCTTTCCGGACTATAGGCTGATATATCCGCTATCATTTTGAGCATAGCGAAAGGTAGGAGTATATCCACCTATCTATTTATGCTCCCTGGACGGTAGGCGAATATATCTGCCGATTATTACGACATCTATTGTTATAGTTGATTATATATAACAACATTAATCTTCGTAAAAATGGTCTTTTATTCAATTATATCTTTAACTGATGTACCTACTAGGAATGTTTTTCTAAAAGAATTTTTAAAATGTTAACAAGTTTTTTTTTTACAAGGAAATAAAAAAAATAAAAAAGAGAAAAAATCTAAATAAAAAAAAATTTTGGAGAAAAGTGCTGCATAGGTCAACTACAACATTCTATAAACTGCAGATTTAAAAAAGTTTTTGAAAAATTAATTTTGCTGTCTTCTGTATACATATTATAGACCGTCCGGGAAGGGTTAAGGTTTCTAAAATTGGATAAATGAACTTGTTAGATTGCACTGTAGTCACACATACAGAACTAAGTGGATTTGTATCTAATAAAACACAAATAAGTTAGGACCAGAGGAATCGTTTAATGCCTCACAGATAGCAAACAACGGCTGAAGTTATCGTATCTAGGCCTACTCGTAAAGAAGTCAGTATTGTCACTGGGAATCACACATCTCATCACCAAACCAGTGTTTTATATGCTAATGACGCAACCTTAAAGTGTCCTCCGATGAATTATTATCTTTGCTAGAAATTATGAAACTCAGTGAAAGGGTTAAGAAATACTTTTAAAACACCTAAGATTAATTATTACTTTTATTTTGACAAACATATTACTACATCTATTCTTTGTTTGACTGCAAGTAGTTGTTCCTCTGTTTATCAAGTTCATCTGCAAGAGAAGTGACCATGGGATGTTTCAGTTTACCTTTCACACTATCAAAGAACTCTTGAAGATCAACAGGTTTGTTAGCAGACTTCTCGTACTCAAAGGCTTGTAAGACCATGTCAAACCTGTCCAGGTCTTTGACAAACTTCGCCTCTTCTGAAGACTGGGACTCGTACTCCTGTAAATAGTTTGAAAATCAAATACTAATCTTCCATCTACATTCTTTGTTGTAACAAAGGTTTATTCATGCAAATTTAACGAAATACTATGGAAATAGGTGTACATTTTCACTCCATTAAATAAAAACACTTCAGACTAAAAGTTTTGGTAAAATGGCTAGTTTTTTTTTTTTTTTTTTAGATTCGATGGTGTCAACAGTGATGGCAAAATAAAAGCAACTAATTGTTCTACCCAACTTTTTCATATTCTTATTCAGAGTCAAAAATAAAACTTTTGTCCCTAAGTCTCAAAAATATGTCAACAACTTAAAATTTTGGTTTTTTAATCCTAAATGAGTAAAAAAATTGATTGTCAAGGTATGTCCTAAATTGCATACTTACCCAGACTCAGACATCTTCATTTCATGTTTTTTACAAAGTAATTTGTAAAGCCGTTTTAGTTCATTTTTTTTTCAAATTCTTCTAGTGTCTTTTATTGTAGTTGGACTTTTTTTTTCAAATTCTTCTAGTGTGCTTTAATGTAGTTGGACCCTTTTCAGAAAAAATATTCATGATTCCCAACAGAAAGTAACGAATGGAGATTTAAAAAAAAGTGATCCAATTAAAAGTGATTAAAAAGTGATTCAATTAGCTGAAAAACCTAAAAAGTTATAAAAAAATAAAATTAAGTTAAGGACATTGGACATTTATCATTATAAAAACGGAGTCCTTAAGTATTTTAAATCTGAATTGTTTTAATGCAATCAAATTAATGCTGTTTCCTTGACCTGACATAGTTTAGGGGTTTGCCAACTGCTGGCACTGTGCAATTTGTTTTTACATTCCAATTGGACATAAAAATATTTTTTATGTAGAAAACTCTAAGCCAACAATTTTATGGTGGCATTAATCAATTATCATAATCCAACAAATTAGGCACACAATGACTTTATGGCTTTGTTCTAGTAATTACCTATATATATATATACACACATATATATTATCTATGTTTAATAGACAATTTTAACTAAGAAAAATTGCATTTCTATAACTCATATAGGCTAACCAGATTAAATCCAATCTAAAAGCAGCCACTTTTCAAATGTTGATAACTATTTGAGGCTTTATTCCTTGTAAATCTGCCCTGGTTATAATTTGGAGATATCATTTTAGAAACTGTTCCAAACCTCAAAGAGCTGTAGAAGGTAACTGCCAGATGAGCCGACAAGCTTCGATAGTTCTAACATCGCATCCTTTTCTCTACGATGTTTTTCCTCAGCCGACACACCACAAAAAGGAGTGATATCTCCTACGATGCATTCCGCTAAGTCGTGGACCAACGCCAGTTCCATGCATCTGAAATGTAAATGTTTGTTAGAGTTTAGGAAATAAATATACCCATTTTTACAGCGTGGATGCTGTATAAAATCTAAGAAAATTGTAAGGTAAAGGTAATGAATAGTAAGAGTTTACCAAATCTAAAAGATAATATTATATCATAAGATACCTTGACTTTTTCAGTTGATGAGACTCTTCAACTAAAAATGTCATAATTGCCATTCGATACATATGGCCAGCCACACTTTCTGGTTGATCTATTCCACGTAACACCCATCCTGTTCTTTTGATATGCTGAAAAAAATATAGTTCATAAATTATTTTTTAAAGAAGTTATCATGAGTAAATGGTAATCACATAATAATACCATTTAACAAAATTTCTTATAACAACGTGAGGCGTTTGTTGTATTAGATTACTGGGATTTAAATGAGAACACCATTAGTTGCTGTTGACATGCAGCAGCCGATACAGACTGAGTGGCATGGAGGAAGGTAACATCGCGGGAGCTCACGGCTCACGGTAGAGTGAGGAAGACCTCGCTGGGAAAGTATCTATCTTAGGTACCTCACTTTTTTATGCAGTTTTTATGCCAAGAAGATACTTTTTAATCAGGACAACACATTGTAACCATTCCCAAATTTCCATTTTGGTAGGTCAGTCGTGTCATGTAAAAGAAAACATGTCACTCTTTGAAAGCATATCTAATGTTCACCACTATTGCACAAGAAAATCCGTCCACTGTAAGACATATATGTATAAGCCTACTGCCACTCAAAACAGCTTTGAATCAAGGTGTTGGCTTTGAATACCAAAGGGTAAAAATGGACAATTTCTTTCCTATACGCATGAGACCTAGCCTGTTTGTTGTTAAAGTCAGACATGTCTTGAACAATATTCTAACCCAGGCCTGCTTACAAAAAAATATTTTATTTAGTATAAAATTGTAGTTTTAATTTTATTGTGAAAACAAAACTAAGCTATCTTTCAGATTGTCTTGACAATTGTAACTAACTGATAAGTTAGTTTTAGTACAACACATCATATTATTAACTTACAATCAATATAGATGTTTCGTATCTGTTTAAGTTAGGCCTAAGTTAGATTATTGAACAAATCATTATGCTTTTAAGTTATCTTCAATAGTATAATGTAGTCAGATACTAAAGGTCAATTTTGTGTCAAATATTAACTGGTGATACTTTTTAATGCTTTACTTTGAAATGGGGACCATATGAAAGTAGGTATTTGGTATTTTAAACCAAGTATGAATGGAGATGAGTGACACGATCTTCCCATACAACTAATGGCAACTAAGTTAAGGGACCTACAGTTTATAGTGGAATCCGAACCACATTTTTGCCTTGTAATTAGGCCTAATGAATTGGTCTAACTATCAGGGTAGTAGGTAATTCAGTTTATTTAGTTAGGTATATAGTTTTTCAGTACCGGTAAGGAATTTAGGTGTAATAAGATACTAAGTTAAATTTATTTTTTCTTGTATTGACTTGGCTAATGCAAGTTATTGTCAGTTTGGCCCAATAAATGACTTATTAGTACTGCAAATAGTCGAAATACTCACTAGTGCGGACGTTAATCCACACCAGGGAGTATTGCATCCACAGTGCATGCCTATAAATAGGCCTATCCACAATTTGTGACCTCCTAGTAGCTGGATTACAGGATGAGCTACCATCCCAGTCAAATAGGTGAGATGTATATTTGAATAAAGAATGCAAAGTCATAAGTTGGATTTTTATAAGGGAAGCGCCAAAATACAGAAGGCTATAAAGTTAACCTGTGACAATCCTTACACCTATTTTACTTTTATGATGGAATGAATGGCCTATGGATCATCTGAATGGCAATCTAAACTTGTATTTAGTAACTTATTTTTTACATTGGATGAATAACTATTTATTTTACTGTAATTCAGCAATACAAGATATTGCCGGTAACTATTGATTATAGTAGCTATAGTAAACATAACCTACAAATTGATACTTGCTTTAAGACGACCCACTAGTGTCAGGAACTGCAACGTATTACCAAGGCTAGAAGAACTCATTTGTGGACTTAATATGTTTAGTCAAATGTCAGGTTTAAAGGCAACTCAACTTCTTTTGTCTAATGATTCAACAATTTGATGACACTCAAAGTTGACAGTGACAGCCCTAAATAAACAGAGATGCCCCTCTAACCTAACGAGCGCACAGTGCCAGGCCAGTGATCAGTGAATAGTGAATAGCAGAAGCAGACGACAACGACTTTAATTTTTGAAGTTCTTCTCTTCCCGAATTATCATTGGTTTTGTATTTAGCGCACAGCTGGTAAAGAATGCAGCTATGAAGCCCTGCTGATTTGTGCTATTTGTTGATTAATCATTAGTTTATACAAAATTTATAATTTAGTTGCACTATGTATGAGTATCACATAGGTACTTGTATGCATAAAATATCACAGTTCGTATATAATCAGAGTCCACGATATTTCAAAGACGTAACTGGTAAAAAATATTGGTATGGTTTAAGTTCTTCATCCTAATTCAAGGAGGCACATCAAAGGTTACAGTTAGCTACATTGATACACTATTGTTGCAGACAAATTGCTGCATATTTACTTATTATTATGCTACTTCATAATGTAGCAAATATGCCTAATACATTTTTTGTCCTAAGACGCTAAGCACGAGCCTGGGATTGTTTTTCACATTACTTCAGGTTAGACCTGACCTGGGGTTGCGGCATTATCACTTAGAGTAAATCCATTGGTGATTTGGCGGGATTTGACCCCGGGACCTCAGGGACTGAAGAGTGAAGAGACCCGCGCTGTAACCACTAGACCAGCTCGCTCCCCGATATGCCTATAACTGAACATCATTAATCAATGTGAGCAAAACACAACTTGAGAAATTATTGTTTTTGGGCAAATGCCTACCATAATTCGATCATTCCATCCCCCACAGCCCCGACTTCAGCTGCAAACGAAACGCCCCCTTTTTTATTGGGCATTGATTGACCCAAGTCTAACTATTCCCTCTCTTTTCCTAATGATGGTACCATAGTGCGGCGGACAGAACTATAACATAAAACCCTCTTCAGCCGATCCATAATCCACACTGCGTAACAAACCTATTCCAAGCTTGTTCCAAGCTTAGAACACTAAACTTACAAACTTTAGTTTTAGCTTGGGTAAACCAGCTTAAGCTTAAATAAGTCTTGTTTTAAGGTTCGAAGTTTACACTTTTTTAACTTGTTATAAGCTTAGGTTTCCAAGCCTAACCCAAGCTTGGAGTTACAGGCTAAAAACTGACTTGTAATACCAAGCTAATAACAAGCTTGGGTAAACCATCTTATAAGCTAGTTTAATAGGCGTGTTTTAAGCCTCGGAAGTTAGTTTACACTTTTTCAACTTGTTTTAAGCTTGGTATAACCTTTCTAAAGCAAGCTATCTGTGAGATGAAAAATGAATTGCTCATTTAAACTTTAAAGTAATGGAAAGAGGATGAGAAATCTACTAATACAAATTCAGTATAATTTTTATCTAAGGTGGTACTTCTTCTTTTGTTAGGCTGGAGACAACCTCTGTAGGCAAACCCCTATAAGGAATCAAAAGTATATTAACAACTACTCTAAGTCTAAACTGTTATAAAGTGTTATAACAGGAATAAAAAATCTGTTACAGAATGTATATAGAACAAAGAGTGCTTTAAATATAATTTTGTAAATATCCTACAAACATCAAGCAATATGATTTTCAGTTAAATTTGAACACTGCTGAAAATGAACTGTAATTAATGTTAATTTACTGTCACTGACTATAAATTCACTGATACCTGTTCAGATTCAGTTCATTTAACATTCAGCTGTAATTTTAAATAAACCATCATCATTATGCTGTTTATAGTTTCATCCACTGTTTCATCTTCTTCCTTCAGTTGTTTATTTACTAACCTATGAGAAGAAACATTAATACTTGTCCTCTATTTGAAATCTTAAGAATCAATTATTGTTATGTTTTGTGATTTATATGTACAAAGTTATATCTCAAACAGTATCATCAAACAATTGTAGCAGTGAGTTAGTACTCTACCACAATATTTAACTTAACCATATTAAAATTACAATAGAGATTAAACTTTATATTGTACTCTTGGTTAAGCTGATTTAAATAAATAACCTCTCTGACATTTACTTTTAAAAACTACAATCTTTAAAGATATATTTTTTAGATTTTGTCTTTCATCACTATTTTCTCTTTATTGTTGATTATAGCAAGATGTCTAATTTAATAGTAGGTACTAGAAGAATCACCAAAACTGCAAAACTTTGATATCCAAATCCATTGCATTATCGGACATAAAGTATAATTTGCAACAAAAACCAAAACCGAACTCCTATTGATTGTGATAAATAGGATGGATCAATCGGATATAACTTATCCTAATCATTTTATGTTCTTTTAATTTTTAATAGAGTTTATTTTAGTTGTTTTAACAATTTGGAATCCTTAAAATTTTACAAAATTGTAGTTTAAGACTTGGTCAATTCATTTTGAACAATGAAACAACAGTGCATTGTTTATTATTGCTTTTAAACAAGAGTTTAACTTTCACCATCAATATCAATTGATCAAACCTAGTTTAAAATTGTAAGCTGATGGTGACCAATAGAAGGAGTTTGCTTTTTACCGAGTCAAATCCTAATTTCAAAAAATTATAACAAACTTTTACCACAGACTATAGATCAATTTAATGGTCTACTTTGTCTGTGCTTTCATACATAAAACACTGTCAAACAAAATGTGGGACTCCTCCCCTAAAAATGGAATGAGGAATCCATTTTGGTGTAAAATTTACAAAAACTGTAAACATATGTTGGTTGTTGATAAAACCTAAGTTAATAATTTACATAATAATATTATAGGAGGGATGATTGTGAGTATGTCCAGTTGTTATTTAATGACTCAATGAGTGAAGGAGGAGAGGGAGAAACACCTGACTATAGATGTGGGTGGCTGACATTCAAACCCGATTGGCTGCAGAAATTCAACACAACTGCATGGGCTTTGGCCATTATTTCATCCGCAGCATTTTTACAAGGTAACTGATTATAGCATGTTAGTCATATCTTGCAAAAAAATGCGCCCTTAATATTGTATTTAACTTGTTATAATGTTGTTGTTTTTTATATATATTCACTGAACTATATTATTTTAATATCAGACATATTTTATTGCATGGAAGACTCCCTCTGTAGTTGAGGCCAGACCTTCATCTAAACTAAAATAATACCAAACCATCAGTTAACTCAACACAAAAATGAATGTATATGGAAATTGAGGGATTATTGGGAATACTTTCCGTCACAATTAGTCAAAAACAAGTTTGACTGATTGTGATGGGATAGGTCCGCAATAATCCCTCAATCACCATAAGCCCACCACCAAAAATGAACTTCGAACAATGAATTATATATTTTAGAAACACTTTACTTTCAAAATTAGTAACCAACAGAACAGCACAAAGTAAGTAAATTCAGCAATGAAGTCTGTATGTACCACAAAAGTAAGGCGGGGCTCTAAGTTTAAAACACAACAATCCAATATTTTCTGTAGTAAATGGTATATGGGGTGGTCTGTTACTATTACGGTTTAAATATCTCATCAGTAGGAATCGACAGTCAAAAGCATAGCCTATTATATTTAACAAGCATAGCTTCTAATAAGATTTTCATAGTAACCAAACTAACCCAAATGATTTGCAAATATGAGGTAGTTTACCTACTTTTCATTTACTTTTAGGTGTAATTGTAAATGGGATTTTACACTTGATGATTCCAACAATTGAACACGGATTTAACCTGCGATCGTTTAAATCTGGCTTGGTTTCTGGGGGCTATGATATAGCTTCACTGTTATGTTTGATTCCCGTCACCTACCTGGGGGGACGACATCACGCCTCCAAGCCGAAATGGATTGGATTTGGAGTCTTCATTATGGGGATTGGAGCTTTAGTCTTTTCATCACCATACTTCCTGACAAAAAATAGTCACTTGGCGTACTTTCAAGATTCGTCTGGAATTTGTACTGATAACGAAAATACGAGTCATAAGGTACTGATTTTTAAAATCGATTTTCCTATTTTATAGAATAAGCTATTAACGTAGGTCTCATGGTAAGATTTGGACCTGGGACAGATATACTTTTTCGTTTTGATGTCCACAAAGGCCAAAAACACCTTCTGTTCAAATTCAATATATTTGTATATGTTCATTAGCTCGATTAGGTACTCAAAAGCAAAAATCATCCAATTTTGATGAAATTTGGCACTAACCTGTAATCTTTATATTGTTTTATAAACTCTACATCAATTAATAGAGTTATTAATTACAATTTTTTTTTTACTACCTACATACATAATATAAGCTTGCTCAATGATTTCAGAACTGCGGTCATAGTGACGGGACCCATTTGTCCTCCTTCATGTGGATATTTTTTATCGGAAATCTTCTCCATGGTGCCGGAGCTAGCCCCCTCTTTACTTTAGGGGTAACTTTTTTGGACGAATCAGTTGTGAAAAAGAAAACTGGAATAACTATAGGTAATAAATGGAAATATTTTACAATTACATCGATATATATAATTTATATATTTCTGTATTATGTATATTTTACTATTATTTTTTGCAAAGAATTACCAAAGAAAAATGGCAAAGGTCTACCAGTGATGGTTGGAATAGTGTTTATTCAAATTCGTTAAATAGCACACTTAACACCTCTTTTAATTGTGTGTGGTTTATCTGATTCTAGGTGTATATTATACTGCAGCAACCTTTGGGATTGCCGTAGGTTATGTGGTCGGAGGTTACTTCCTGCAGTTACCAGAAGACTTTTTGTCAGTCTCTGAAAATGTGTAGGTACATACTTTTCATAAAACTCTAGAAATTAAGGAATTGCTTCATAATCTGACAACCGGTTGTATTAATAAATTTAGCTAAATGTTATAGTTTTCCCCTCTTTTGCCATTACTGCAAACTTTACATCACCAACTACTGAGCTGCACACTACTGTCTCCGGTCCTACACTGCTAGAGTCTGCACTCAGTGATAAAGTGAGAGTGTCTCCGGGTGTTCTCACTTACAGTGAGACACTAAAGCAGAGTAATGGTGTGTGTGCGGGGGTTGCTGTGATCAGCCCAAGTGTAAATATTAATGAAATCTGTAAATCTAAATGTCATATTAATGTAGAAAATACCACTGTAAATAGTACTATGTTAGGTGAACAAATCGATGAAGTTTTTTTAGAAATAACAAAATAAATAACATATTACCGGTAGCTGCAATTATGGATGATTTTGATTTTACTGTAAATAATAATGCTAAAACAAATAACAATGAAAATCAAGAATACTTAAAAATTTTACAGGTTAATATCCAGTCTATTAGGAACAAAATGTTAGAATTAGAACACTTTTGTGCCATAGAGCAAGTGCATGTAATTTGTATGTCTGAACATTGGTTAGAGGAGCGGGAAGTTGAATTCTTTGTTCCTAAAGATTTTATTGCTGCAGATATCATGTGTAGGAAAAGTATAAAAAATGGTGGGGTAGGAATATTTTTAAGAGAAGGGTTAACCTTCACCAAAATAGATGTTAGCTTATTCTGCATTGAGCTTCATTGTGAATTTAGCTGTATTAAAATAATTGATTATGATCTTATAGTTTTAAGTGTTTACAGATCCCCTAGTGGTGATATTGGTTTGTTTCTGGAAAATTTTGAGCTTGCTGTGAAAAAGCTGTTAAAGTCATTTAAATTTGTAGCCATTGCAGGTGATTTTAACATAGAAATGATAAAAATGGAAAAGAAGACATCTATTGAATTTGCCAATCTGTTACGAAGTCTAAATTTAGTTTGTACAAATAAAAAACCTACAAGAGGAAAATCATGCATAGATAATATAATTGTAAACTTTTCATCAGATTTATATAACATAAATACAGTAGGAGGTTGTTTTGCAGACCATGAACCTTTAATATTAGATTTTTTACAGAAAACTATAAAACAATGTAACAACTCAAAAGAAGGAACAAAACAAATAATACGAAGGCAAAATGAAAGTAATATTAAACACTTTGTTGATCAATTGGTACAAGAGAAATGGGAAATGATAATGGACTATAAAATGGGTAAAATTAATGAGCAATTACTATTTGATGAATTTTTTAAGAGATTAGTATCTTTGTGGCATTTTAGTTCCCCATTAGTTAAGTGCAAACAAAACAATAGACATAAGAAAGGAAAACTTAATTGGTATAATGAAAAGTTAAGGAAACTTAGGGAAAAAATGCTTCTTTGTTTTTCTGCGTTTATAAGAGCTTACTCAAACATAAATCAAATAATTTGGAAAATGCCTATAGAACCTATATTGATTGTAAAAAGGCCTACAATCGTGAAATAAAATTAGCCAAAAAGCAAGCTTTTGAAAGATATATTGATAAGGCCCCCAACAGGTGCAAGGCTGCTTGGGAAGTTATATCGCATGAATATTCTCCTACATCAACTAAGTCGGAGGTTTTGGATGCTGACAATCTCAATAACTATTTTATTGAATGTGTTAATGAGCTGGAAAATGAAATCCCTCTCACCAACACACCTGCGCATGAGTTGCTGGGGACTCCCCCTATAGGACAATTACATTTCCAATGGAGGGAGGTATCATGGCAAGAGGTTAACAATGTTGTAGCTAATTTCTCAAATTCAAAAGCTATGGATCATTACTGGTTTTCAAATTATAGCATCAAACAAATAATTCATTTTATAAGTGAGCCTCTGGCTTTTTGTATTAGTAAATGTTTGAAAATTGGTTATTTCTCTGACCTTCTCAAAATTTCTAAAATTATTCCAGTATATAAAAAAGGTGATAAAAATCTTCCTAGTAATTATCGCCCTATTTCAATAGTGCCAATCTTTTCCAAAATTTTTGAATGTCTCATGCATAAACAAATGAATGAATATACTCGGTTTTGGGACCCTTCTTGTTTTTAATCTCGATAAATGACCTGCCGAGGAATGTTGATGTAGACACTGTTGTATATGCTGATGACACAACTTTGATTGCAACAAATAGAGATATCCATGAGCTTGATTTAATTACTAATGAATCAATAACATCAGCACTAAATTGGTTTTCTTCAAATAAATTGACATGTAATCAAGAAAAAACACAGAAAATTCTTTTGAGTCTATCCCCACTTGACAATGAATTAAAATCTGTAAAATTATTAGGCTTCCAAATTGATTCAAAATTAAATTGGCAAGAGCACATAGAAATCACTTGTAAAAAAATTTCCAGAGTAAATTATCTAATTTGGAAACTCAGAGATTTTGTTAGTAATGAATACCTTCGGATTACTTATTTTGGTTTTTTTCAATCTCATATTTCTTACGGGATTATACTATGGGGACACTCCCCCCACACCCATGAAATTCTTTTATTACAAAAAAAAGTCATACGAACAATTTGTGGGGCTGGCCCTGTGGATAGCTGTCGACTTCTTTTTATAGACCTTAAAATTATGACCGTTGTAAATTTGTATATTTTTCACATACTCCTCTACACTAAAGCCAATCTTCATCAATTCACTTGTAGAGAGAGTATACACTCTTGCAATACAAGAGGCAAATCCAATCTAGATATCCCTGCACATAGATTGGCCAAAACAGATAACTGCCATAAAATAAATTGCATACGGTTTTTTAATAAATTAGGTCTGACAGCAAAACAGGTTCCTTTTAATAGGTTTAAGTCTAAAATGTTTCAGTGGCTCATCCAAAATCCATTTTACTGTATAACAGAGTACTTAGTTTCTGATGTTAATATTAATTTTTAATTTAGAACCCACTGTATTTTATAGCTTTAGTTTTTATTTATTGTTGACTATGTCTATTCCTTGTAAAAGGTCAATGACAATAAAGATCTTGATTCTTGATTCTTGATACTTAATTAGGCCTATATTTGTATAGCTGATGAACATAATTTTTCCAGTAACAATAATAATTGAGCCCTCAGAGGTGCCATACATATAGATTGATTTTACAAAATAAATATCTAATAAATATTTAAAACAAAAGCATTTTTTGGTGGTTGTCATTGCAATATAGATACAACTTTTTAACAAATTTTGTTTTTGTAATAAAAAATACTTATGATAATTCAAATATAACATGTAAATTGTTACACGTTCTGTTTTAGGTTTTTAACTCCAGCAAGTAAAACATGGGTTGGTGCTTGGTGGCTGGGATTTGTAATATTTGGATTCGCCAGTATAATCCTATCCGTCCCTATTTTAGCTCTGCCCGCACGAATGCCAGGTCAGTTATTCAGTAATTATAATTTTTAAAATTTACATTAACATAATTTATATACCTTAATGCATGCACATTGCACACTCTTGTGAAAATATTAACTTTGAACCACACCCAGTGACTGTTTGAACTATTATTATTGCACAGGATTTTACTATTGCAACTTTTACTTTTGCATCGGATATAGATGCAAATGTGCCGCCTGGTAACAACTTCAATAACAACTCAGTAGAAACTGTTTATATTTCCCACAAACACACATAGTTACGACTTACTGAAGAAAACAAATGTTGAAATATATTTTAAAGCATTTTAAACCATCCAAAATTTGATTATGGTTCAATTTTTTATCTAGGTTACATCTAGTCATGTAATTCATCTTATTTTTTCCCTTGAGAGTTTTTTTAATCTTATTTGTGTTACCGATACTTAACAATATTGTTATCTGAGTGATTTGTGCCTAAAAACAAACCAATGGGCTTAAAATGAACTTCATAATGATAGAATAATTTAACCCTTAATCTAGGATTTTAGTTTACCTGGCCAAGAGAGCTATGAAGTTGAAAACCCTGTTATTTGAGACCAGATTTGTCCCTCTCATAGTAGCATGTTACAAACTGAAGCATTCCTTATCTTTATAGGTTTAAACAGTTAACACAATTGCTTGATGAAGACTGTTGTTTAATAATACCTACCTGACAATTATTTTTATAAACTTTTTAGGATGGGAAGAAGCAATACAATCGAAACTATCAGAGTGTGTCATAGGAAGAGAGAGGAATGTGACGTACAGTAAACTGAAAGAGTTGCCTAAAGCTTTGAGTGAACTGATGAGAAATACAAGTTTGATCCTGCTGAACTTTGCTGGCTGTTGCGAGGGCCTCATAGTCGCCGGTTCTGGAGCTTTTGTTCCAAAAATTATTCAAAGCCAATTCAACTTATCATCTAAATCAACTGCTATGATTATGGGTAGGATGTATTGGGCTGCTAACACAACCTATAGGCTATAAGTCAAGTTGACAAAATATTGAAACTTGAAACTAAATACCCAAAGCAGATTGAGAATGTTCACTATTGTGGACCTTCTGAATAATACACTAAACACTTGTTGTCAACATCACTTTGTCTATTTAAGAAATGTTGAATTGAAATAATGATGTTGAAGTAATGGAATATATGTTTTATTTAAAGTTCAATCAGGGGTCCCTTATCAAAATTGGATTACAAGTTTCAATAAACTATAGGTAAACTGATACAAAAATGTTATGGGGACATCGAGAATACATATTTTGAACGACATTAAATTGTTGATCATTTATATTATCTAGTTTGAGTATTATACGGATTGAGTACATAGCAAGCTCAGTTTTCTTAAAAAGGATAAACCTAAGCGGACAACGTTTTCTTGCTTTGATTATTGACGTTATTTAAAAATTTACCCATTACTCTTTGTCTTGTACACAGGAATGTTAGAATTTCTTAAGACCAAATTAATTCTTATGAAAACCTTAAAATAAAACTGAGGAAATTTGAATAATATAGTCTTATTGTTGTAAAATGTGTGAAAGTCTTTAAATAAGAGGGTGAAAATGTGTTATTAATGTGTGATATTTATTAACATACAATCGCTTTCCACTCAGGTATCATTACAGTACCAAGTGCCATTCTCGGATGTATGGTTGGAGGTGGGATACTGAAGAAGTTTGACCTGAGGTTCATCGGAACACTGAGGCTGTGTATTGGTACTTGTAGTTTGTCGATGCTGTGCGCCTTTTGTTTTCTCATCTACTGCGCGGACGAAAAGATGGTCGGAGTCAATATGCCCTACTACGCTGATAGGTGCTGTTAATCTTAATTAGTTTAAATGTATTTTAGTATTGATTTTTAGAGGTTGAGCTGTTCACTATCCAATGCAATGTGGTAATTTTATGTGATTTGACTTTGGGGTTAAACATTAGGGGAGTACAGGAAGAAATACTAAACAATATCAGATATGGTACTCCATTCCTATTAGTCCCTTGCCACTGTACAGCTGCTTTACTTAAATAATGTTTTTGGTAGGAAAAGACTTAATACTTCTTTTATACTTCTTCTTTTAAAGTGAATAAATACTGTTAAATAAACTTAAATTTAGACTGTATTCATTATCTTCATATTTTGTGTATTTTAAAACCTCAACCTATAAGCTAAAAATGTTTGTATTTTTTATGTCCCAACTCAATTGATCTGTAGATTTGCATAAAATATTCAAAATAACCTTTATTTCTCTCAACAAACTTCCTTTGTTGATATTTTTTACAGGAAAGTGATACAGCTATCAGACCCCTGTAATGAGAAATGTGGATGCTCGGGGAAGGAGTTCATGCCAATCTGTGGGATCAACAATTTCACATACTTCTCACCTTGTCATGCTGGCTGCCACGGCTCCCAGACTGCAGGAGACATTACTGTAAGATTTAGTAAATCTTCAAAATAAGCTTAGATGCACATGTTAAGGTGATTAATAAACACAAGCAGCAAACTGACACACTTTCTCCAATTAGCTTGTCAACAGGTGTTTCTATGGTGTTTTATTGGTAAAATCACTAGTATTGCAAATTACAATATTATCATCCATGCATAATATACTAAATGCAATTTCCAAATTGCATCTCATCATCAACAATAGTTTTCCTGGACCTAGAAATAAAAAATTCAAGATGGACTCAGATAAACCGGTGTACACTTCAAACCTACCAACCATCTACAATATTTACATTTCAACAGCAACCACCCAAAGAACACCAAAAGATCTATACCGTTCTGTCAATCCATCAGAGGCAAAAGGATTTACATCCACAATAATGAATTAAACAAGTTCAATAACAAAATATCTGACACATTCGTAAAAAGAGGTTATCCTAGAAAGCTGGTGGAGAACCAAATCCATTTAGCGTAAGACCATCCGCAACCAAAAAATGAAAAGCAAAATACTAAAAACATTACACTCGTCACAGTCTACCACCAAGGACTAATTTCGTTAAATGGCATTTTAAAAGAGGGTTTCAAAATCCTCAAAGCCTCTAACCGCACCATAAATTTTTTGAAAGATCCGCAAAATATTGTTTTCATTCTTGACCTTTGTTGCCACTGTTCTTCATTCTCATAAACCTCTCTATGTTATAGCCGTAATGTCTATCATTAATCAAGTGTTGTGTCTAGCTCTACTCCATTTGCAGCTGTATAGAGGAGGCTGGTGATAATGGTGTACAGGCTACTACACAGGTGTGCAAGTCTACTTGTCCGTTGTTGCCACTGTTCCTCATCCTCATGTACCTCTCCATGTTATAGCCGTAATGTCTATCATTAATCAAGTGTTGTGTCTAGCTCTACTCTAACTGCAGCTGTATAGAGGAGGCTGGTGACAATGGTGTACAGGCTACTACACAGGTGTGCAAGTCTACTTGTCCGTTGTTGCCACTGTTCTTCATCCTCATGTACCTCTCTATGTTATAGCCGTAATGTCTATCATTAATCAAGTGTTATGTCTAGCTCTACTCTAACTGCAGCTGTATAGAGGAGGCTGGTGACAATGGTGTACAGGCTACTACACAGGTGTGCAAGTCTACTTGTCCTTTGTTGCCGCTATTCCTCATCCTCATGTATCTCTCTCTGTTCTTCACCTTCACTGCTGCCATGCCTGCGCTCACCGCCACATTGAGGTAAGGGTGTTAATTAATGTTGCTCAAGTAAATAATATGAGTTTTATGTATATGTTATGATATGAATTGCAATTCAACTACACCTGTGGGCAACAATATGAAGTTTGGTTCCGCAGCGGTTTTGGGTTTCCATTTGCGCTGCCTTGGAAAAATCTTTACTCTTTGAATTTGAAAAATTATATGTATATTCCAAAGGTGAATAGATGCTAGATTTTTATTCTTTGGCAAATACAAAATCCAAATGACTGAATTTAGTAGAACTATATCAACAAAAGTCGGTTCACTATCAAAATAATAAACAGAGGCAAAAGCCAGTAAGAAAAACTCCAATATATTGTTCTTTGGTATATTCCATAGCATCCGATGATCTGTATTTTCCTATACTTTATAAGGTAAAAACATTGTTACAGAGTTCTATTACAGTAAACTCTTTTGCTATTTTTTAATGTATTGTTTTTAGAAAAGGATATCTTTGACTAACACTCAATCAACTACCATCTAGATGGAATCTACAGTAGATCTAGTACAGAGAAGATTTCAAGGAAGTCATTTCATTTATTTGCTCACCATCTTCACTTGGTACTTACTACCAGGCCCGTTTTTGACCCTGTCAGCGCCCTAGGCACGCCTAATAGTAGCGCCTCTTTGCAATATATATATAACAGGGTGTACACCGACCGGGAAATCAGGGAATCATGCGGGAGATCCTCAAGGACTTTGCCGCGATCGCGGAAGACGATGATGATCTCCACAAAACTGCAGGACATGATTAAAATTTTGCCGCAATCGCTGGAGACGATTACCATGGATTCACGACTGCGGGATACGTACGATATCTACAGGACCACGGGAGATATAATAACTATTTCTACACGGCCACGAGGGATGATCAGAATATTGCCGCGATCACGGAAGACGATGATAATGTCCAAATGACCGCAGGAAAAGATCAGAATTTTGCCTCATTTGCGGTAGATGATAATAATCTCCTCACGACTGCGGGATACGTTCTTATATTGCCTCGATCATGGAAGACGATAATTTTATGTCCAAACGACCTGACTGCAGAAAATAGTAAGAATCTTGCCGCAAACGCGGGAGACGATTACGATGCCTACACGGCCGCGAGTGGTTATCAGAAGTATACCGCGATATCATGCAAATACTACCACGATTTTTTTTTTAATTTTCAAATTTTTGGCGCCCCCAAAAAAAGCCAATTGCCTCGCGCCCTAGGCACGTGCCTACCGTGCCTATTTGGTAAATCGGCCCTGCTTACTACTAGACTTTAGTCTTTAAACCTGTAAACCAGCAGATGGTTACTTCTTCTGATGATCCCTAACGATGCACAGATGTGTCAAATCGGACCAGAGGTCCCTAGCGCTAGGGATTCAGTGGATGCTGGTGCGGATGCTGGGTATGATCCCGGGACCTCTACTGTTTGGGATCATCATCGACGGCACCTGTCTGTACTGGCACGCAGGAGCTTGCAGTGAGGGAGAGGGCTCCTGCATCCTCTACGACCACTACTTGATCAGCAGGTCAACTATACACAATCTTAGTAATAATATAAACTATAGTTTAATGTATGTCAATCTGATTCATCATCTTTTGATTGCAAGCCACAGTAAAGAAACTGATAATTATACTTTTCATTAAAGAAATTTACTGTTTGTAGGCTACTCTATTTGCTTTTGATTTTTTTTTCTTCTGTACGGACTTAGCGGCAAATAATGATAAGGTAACTAGGCAAAATCTTTACAATTACCTGTGTACATAGCTTTTTTTCAACAGTTATTCAATAGCCATTTTCATTCAAGCTAAACAATTTTTTTTCTCTCTCTTTTAAAATAGCTATAAATCAATTTATTTTTTTAAATTTTCTCTAAAGTTTTGTTTCACTTAGTGTTTACATCACACTAAGTTTAGCCTCACCTAAAAGCATGGTTGCTTCTTCAAGTTTCCTTTTGCAAGTGTGTTGCCTTTTTTGCAACCATGATCTTGAAGTTTCTTTACAAATTTAATTCCACTGAATACTAGATTTAACGAATAATTTACTCCAGCCACAAATGCTGTAACGCTCTGCAATTCTTGTTGTAATTTATTCACACTTATTACAACATTGTATCAATGCATATCTCCTTTATATTTCTTTGGCTCCGGTTTAAGTATCTCACATTTTATAACTTGTAATATGTTTTATTTCAGATCCATGGTTTTGATGGGCTGCGGATGGAAGAGCTTGGAAATAATTTTGTTTGCCCTTTCAATATATTTTTATAAGAAAGATATTCAGACTTCAACCTCTAGAAGTTGATTTAATCATCATTCAGTTTGTACATAGAATGTTTCTTTGTAGCATATCAATTAATACATTTATTTAAAACTATTTTTTTATTTTTTTCTAAATATTCTGTGCTTTTATAATTTAATCAAAATGAAATAGTTTGCGTTCCTAAACCAAAAAGTAACTAAAATGAAAATAGTTACCAAAGTATTCATCCTTAGTAAGAATAGTTAACCTAAGTGTTCATTGAGCCAATGTTATCCAACTTGGATCTTTGTAAATTTCATCACATTATGAATTTGTTTGAATTGATTAAATTAATCAAAACGTCAAGTTGAAATCTTTCTAATCTGCAAGGTTTACTGAGTCAAGAATAGTTTTTTTCAAACAAACAAATTGTTATAAATGTGAGAGCAAACAATGTGCAAAGGGCATTGACTGAACCAATGAACCTATGGTTGAAGTTAGTCATTATGACTGTTAGCACATTCAAGACGTTAGGCATAAGTGCTTCAAATAAAAGCTCAGCATTATAGTGTGAGGAGTTCTTAGTAACAACAGATTTTTGTGGACAATTATGAACTTTACCAAAAATAAAGTGTTTATGTTGAACAATGACAATTTTAACTTTTGACATAAATTGATTATGAAGTACCACTTTAGACTTAGTTTTTGCCTTTAAACGTTGATGCAAGAGATGATTCTTGTCCGTGTTGTGTTTGTGTTATTACTAACATGCAAAGCTTTAGCAGAGACAGTTCATGTACGTCGTCATCCCCGTTATCTTGTTTTTCCTCCAGGACTCGGGAATAAACTCCAGGTAAGGTGTACCCTAGAATGAATGTAATAGTAGTACCAAAAGTGGCATTTTCCAGTTAGCACTTAAGTGTCATGTGTTTATATTAATTTCCAACAGATAGCTCCAATTACAACAATGCACACATTGTTAACAGACTTGTGGCAGAAGATGCAATGGCTTGAAACAAAAACAGTTGTTGTATATTTTCCTGTCGGGTAATTGGAGAGTGAATTGTAATGTTTACAATTAATTCCTTATAATTTCACTTTAAACGAGCTATAGAAAATTAATCAAATCATTTATGTAAAACCATTGTTAGCAATGTTACCAAGGAGCAAAGATGAACACCATGTAAACACACATGCTTCAGATATAACAATATGATAGAAGTTTCCTAACAGTAACTTAAAGCCAATTTCAGCAGATTCTTTTTTTTAATGTTATTATTTTTTAACCAAGTCACTTTCATCAATTTATAGAGGATAGGTAGAAAGGACTTGCTAGTTCTAACTTCGCCTCTTAAATAAAGACATTTTTCATTTAATTTCATTTCAAGTCATTCTGTTTTCCATAATTTGTATCTTTTCTCCCAAATGAGGCCAATCATCACAATTTTTAAAACTTTCCTCTCACTTTTGATGGGAAACTATTCCATTTATTTTACAAAATATTCAACTTTTAATCTTTTACTCAGATCATCTGTGGGTTTGGTGTCCCCATTGACGCTCCTCGTACCAGTCTCACCTATGGACTTATCCTCAAGACTAACTACGTCCTACCCACCAACGCCACGCAGTTCACTGATCCTTACGTAGCGTTTGCTCGCCGTGGGATCGGAGCTTCTCGCTGGCATCTCTACTATACTGCTGAGGCTGTACTGTCTAGGTTATATTTACAATGATATTGAAATTTTTAACTTGATTTTGTTTTTATAAGGTGGTAGAAAATATTATGAAAATTGGCATAATGACATTGATGGTAAATCCTTGTTCTTCAAATGGTTAAGAAAGTAATTTATTTAAAGTGTTAAAAGGGAGAATCACCATATAGTTTTATAACGGTTTTTTATTATCTACTAGCTGGCCCGACAGACGTCGTCCTGTCCTGTGGTTTTATGTCAAATGCTTGTTCATTTTTAAGATGAGCTCGTTCGCATCACTCAATCACGTCCTGGTTGAAGTTTGTTCGCTACACTCACTTACCTTATGGTTGAAAAATGACACATGTTATTGTATCCCACAGTTTAATGAAAACATTTTCCTCCAATGCTAATATAAAGGCTTTTTTTTTCAAATCAAATTACTTAATAACGGTTGGATGGATTATAAATTTCCTTACATAAAAATCTCCCCCTGGCACTAAGGAACACAAAAAAAGGATCATCCAATTTGGTGCACTCATTCTCGAGTTATGGAATAACATCAAAAAAAAGGGATTAATTTTTATTTATATAGATGCTTGGGGAGTTTCAAGTAAAGGAACCACAGCGCAGGGCCGGATCTAGACAATTTTTGAGTGGGGGCAAACTAAAATTTGCCGCCCCTCCCCCCCCCCTTCACCCACAACAAAAAATCCCTCACAAATTAAACAAAAATGGAGGGTAAAGTGGAATAGGTAGATATAACGAATTCCTTGACATAACGAATTTTTTTAAATCCCCTAGAACTCTCCATAAGACACCATGTATATTTTACCTCTACATAACGAACAAACTATAACAACGACCTTGATTTAACGAATTTTTCGTGATTTCGGCTAAAATAAGACACCTCAATATAACAAATTTATCATTGTCAGAACATCTACATTGCGAATTTAACCTCTGCATAACAAATTGTCTACGTCTTTCCCTCGATATAACAAATCCCCCACCCAATTATTGTTTTGGGAAAATCTGTTTCTTTATCAAATGAAATGGAAAGGTCACGTCATCGCTTGCGCTAACATTCGTCTGCTCCGTTTTACATCTTTGTCTGCTGTCTCTGCGCGCGCTATGTTGCAATTGAGAACTGATTTCATTCACTGAGGACTGATGACGACGTCATGTTTAGTAAGCTGTGATTGGGCGATATGGGATAACTATGGTGAATTGTACAATTTTTTTGATAAAGAAAAACCTAAGAAAGAATATAAAAACAAAACCAAAGAGAAAGAATAACAACATCGTTTTTTTAACATTCCTTTTACGAGTATTTTTACTATCCTTAAGTTGGCTATGATTATACACTTTTATAATGACTTATCTAATAATTTATTGTTTTCAATACTATTTGTTTCAACTAGCATTAGCAACACCAATGCTATAGTTAATGATTATTATTGACATTCCTCTGTTGTGATAAATCAGTACTGTACTGTAAGTAGCCTACCGGCCTATCGCGGGCAGTAGCTTACAAAACTTTCTACTGTTTTGTTTTGTTCTTTACATAATTTATGACTACGCAATACAGTGTTTGGCTAGGTTTTAGGAGGGTTAGAACAAGCTGTGATTTTAAACTTATAGTTTTTAACCTGTACCAAGGTCAATGCCATTGTCATGATTGCGCAATATTCAAGATCCCTCCCCTTTATTATGCCGGATAATTTAGGTTCTACTGTACAATGTAAACACTGTACTGTAAAGTATTGTAGCCCATGCTACTTTAATTGTACTGTATTTTAATGAGGTCAAGTCCCGACCTATATTGATCGACGCTGGTTCTGAACCTCGACTTAGCGAAATTCCTGCAAACCTAACCTCTATATAACGAACCACGGCAGTGAGGCAGGGCGGCATGGCGCCTTGACAGGGATGGCGATCAGCTGAAATTATAAACAAACTTTTCTGTGCTGCTAACTATGCTATTAGGGCTCTCAGTGTTTTCTACTCCGTTGCAATTTATATTGATTTCTACTGTAAAATTATTGTTTGTTTATTACGTTATGCAGTTTTGAAATTACTTAATTGACGTTCCTTATGACGTTCGGCTCATTAAAAACTTTTTACAAACTGTATTAAACAAATTTACTGCAACCAGAAATTTGCCGCCCCTCAACCCTGCCGCCCGGGGCAACCGCCCCCTCTGCCCCCCCCTTGTTCCGGCCCTGCCACAGCGTCTTATTTACTAAGAAAAAATATGAGATCAGTAATCTTAACATAATATTGAAATAACTCCTTTTTCCAATAATCTTCCCAAGCTACTTAGCAACAATCTCTGATTAGCAAAAATTTTTTTTGAGTAATCTCTCGGAGTTTTTACTCCTTTGACTAAGCTCTCACATCTGCATCGCACAGGCTTGGTATAGGAGGTCGCAGTTGTTTGTTAAGAGCCGTCTGTGAAGCGGCCGAAACTCCTCTTCACCACAACGGGCTGCTGGGAGAACTGCTCCACATCCTGCTCACGTTAGTCTTTGTGGTATTAAATACATTGGTAATTTTAAATTTTACAAATAATGTTTTAAACATTATGCTTAAACATTATTTGTAGACAACACTGGTTGTCAACATAACATGTCTTAAAGATTTTGTTGTAAACTTTAATGTATTGTAAACAAAATTTTAAGCTATGGACAAATATGCATATCTGATTAAGATTAAATAATAAATTGAAAGAAAAGAATACAAATAAAGCACAGCTGATTAATTTTTGACAGTAGGTACATAGAAAGTTCCTGTCCTAACAGGATTGCAGCTTTAATGTTACGTATGATATGTTAAGTATGAAAAAAAGAATAGTTGTAACCAAGGTTCCTTGCCAAGACAAACATATTATGTACACGGTTCATGAGGGTGTGACTTGTATTTTTGTTCATGGGTAGTTTTGATCGATAGATTACTTGGCAAGGAATTTTGTTTTAACTATATTCAATTCAAGCTTCTTGATAACGATAAACATGTAATCGCTCACAATAATGTTCACAGTCCCACCTCCACTGAGGATGAGCCTATAGACTCCAGTGTGCTGCATTACTACGCAGCAGAACGCTACGGCAGAGCTCTGCTCAGCAATAGTTCCGCAGCACCTTGCAGTCAGCATTACGCAGCTTGTGATACGGGACTCTTGGACATCGTGTCAACCCTCGTATCCGACTCTCTATCGTCACTTCTCTGAAATCTTGCTCATACTTTATTGAATTAAAAGTGTTTGTATTATATGTCTCAATTTTTTATTTCCATTTACATTTTCCATTTTGATGTGTGTATATCCACACCTTTTTATGTAGGAGAACTGGTCTTGCTACTTCGACCTTTTTGTTAGATAGACCCATTTGTTAGCCCAATGACAAA